AAAAAAAAAAAAAAAAAAAAAAAAAAAAAAAAAAAATATACCGTCGAATTGAATACCTCCTTCTTTTGGGAAGTCGGTCAAAAAGAATTATCAAAATCGGTCTACTAGCGGCGGAGTTATGCCGTAACACACATAAAAAAAAATAAAAAAAAAAATACATCGACGAATTGAGTACCTCCTTCTTTTGGGAAGTCGGTCAAAAAGTAAAAACAAAATATTTAAAAAAAACAATGCACTTAAAAGTAACGAAATAATTCCTTGAAAATAGTAAACCTCCCTTATTGTAGCTGTTATGTCTATATTGTACAATTATTATTACTTTGATGTCGGTGTCAGCCGAGGTATGCAGTAATATAGTTAACAGTGGTAGAGCACGCTTTAACATCTTCGCACGAATGGGCCGGCACGCCCGATATAATACCACGACCACACAGAAGACTGGCGTGAAATGGAAGCAATTCCGAGTTTCGTCTGATGAGTGTGATGTCGGAGGCCTAATTTTAGTCTCTTTCCCTTTCCACTCTTCATAAGAGGAAAGGATGGGAAGGAAAAGTGAATTTGACGGTGGAGGAAGGGGAAGTGTCTTTTTTATATGCGTCTCCTCCTCCGTCAATAAGAGTAGGTAACACATCTGCAATTGCGGATGTTTGTGGGCAGCGGTTGCTTTCCATTTCGGTGGGTTCAGGTGGCCGCTTGCTTGTTTGCCACCTTATATTATTAAAAAAAAAATCTACGTAAGTTATTAGTCCAGTTATTTTGTTTAAATATCACCTATAAATGATTACAATATTGATAAAAACCCGTGTATCGGCAGTTTCGTTTGACGCGTTTCGATTCCTTTGACCCGTGGCGTGACGTCAGCGGACTTGAACCTCGCAGACCTTGCGTTTCTCACTTAACGACTTAAAGGTATTTATTATTTTCCTTTATGAATGCTTCGACGGTTTTTTCAATATTGGCTTTTTCTTCCAGATTATATTTTATTTTATCTTAATTGGTTCGTTGTTTTGTAGTCTATCCATATATGTAATAAAATTGGAGTCTTTAATATCAAAAGAAAAATCCCAGATTTCGGGAAGATGATGTATTCGTGTTGCTGATAGCGAAAATCAAACATTAAAAAAGTTTGTCAATCTGTCCGGAATCCGCGTTTGTTCCGGATACTCTCCGAAACGGCTGGTCTGTTTTAGACAGGATTTTTATTGAAGGGGCTATATACGGGCATATTATATGCTAATTTTTTATCTTAATATTGCGTAGACGAAGTCGCGGGCAACAACTAGTTGTATAATAAATAGGCATAAGATGACCTTTAGTAAATTGATCTCTAGTATTTTTTTTTATACTTTTTAATGGTTTAATGAAGATTTGCACAACGTTTAGTTTTGAAGTTATGGTCATTTGACCCGTACCTTACGTGGGCGGGTATCTTGGCGATCGCCCACTTAGGTCATTGACCCTTATGTCTTGAACATGCTAAGTTACTGTATAACCTTCGGTATTGATGTTATTTGACGGTATGGGGGTTGTTTTTAGATGTTATTTGATAACTTGCAAAGAAAATGAAGAAAATGATTAAATCCTATGAAACTACAGCTTACCCCCTAATCATTTAAAAGTCGTGTCATATATGTTGCCTATATCATATTTTATACTCTAATCATGTATTAGTTTATGTGTATCGATTATTACGATATTGTTACCCTAAATAAGGTTCATTATACGCATCCTTTGTCTCGCCTACATAAAACTATTTTGAATGTAAACGCCTTCTGACTAAAGGCGTCTTGTTTATATCGTTATTCAAATATTTAAGACTAGCTGTTCCCGTGCGACTTCATCCGCATAGAAATATAAATATTTCATTTCATTGTTTACATTTGTCAGATTATTAATTGCAAATGTCAAAATGACATGACATGACAAAACTTTGCAATCTTGCTTCCTTGATGTTGGCATCAACTTATGGTCTCTTTCCCACATAAGGGTTTTCATTTAAAATATTTACCCCTAAATTTAACGGCGTGAAAATATATAGCCTAAAGCGTGATGTAAATCTAGAGCTTTTTATTAAAAAAATAGTTATTCGAAATTATGCTGTGATTGCCGACATTTTAGGCAACAAAGAAGTGTGTGTTTACGCTTTATTACTCGTATATTAGTAAAGATTTGTTATAACCAAAACAGTTGTTTTCTATTGTCTCTATTTTTAAAGTAAATTAACGGACGACGTTACACATATTTTTTTATAATATTTCAAGTTTGGGTTTTTAGTGAAACTTTTGTCTGTACATCAAAATGATGTCAATTTAAATCAATTGACTTCTAGTCAGATATCTAAACTGTAACTCCACTGGCTATACATAATTGGAGTACAATACAATGAGCGTTTCTACTCATGCGGGATGGGTACAAGACGTACTATGAATCTTTTTTTATTATCCCAATGTAGCCACAACAGGGTTTTTTTTATTTTAAATCTAAAGATGTGGAGTGTAACGCTGATCCTTTTTGGACATTCCGTTATTTGATACGGACTGTCGTCCATTGGTGTCAAGGGCGGATCCAGCTTTGGCGCCAGCGGGGAGAGGGTCACACAGTCGTAGTCAAGTCAAGAGCTTATATATGAAAATATATTTTGTCAAGCTCTTGACCAACCAGCGTAGGGAGGGTCATGACCCCCATGACACCCCTTTCCCCTGGATCCGCCGTTGATTGGTGTGATCTGTGTGTGATTTCGCTATGTACTATGAATCTATAGAATTAATACTCTTCTTAGTATAGTTAAGGCGGTATTGTTAATTTGTAATTTGAGTGTCACCTTTCATATTAAAACTAGGGTAAATGAATTTGAAGGAGACATACATATTTATCGCGTCCATGTAAATAGTCCATAAACGTAAGCGCCCTTGACTATTGAGTTAGAAAAAATTAACATGTTCAGTGCCATCGACTCGCTTAACGAATCATACGGAACAATCTTAGGGGCATTTAACGTGTTAAAATCAAAAGTTTATAATTAATATATATGTTATTTATATGTAAGTGTTTGTATGTACAGTGAGCGAGCAGCCAGTACCGGCTCCAAAGCTGGGCCCCCACGGTGTCCAGATCGTGGACACGGGCCCCGACCACACGTTCGTTCTCAACGAGGAGGCGCTTGCCGCACTACTGCTGCAAGATGACATACGAGACCGCGCGGTCGTCGTGCTGTCTGTCGCTGGCGCTTTCCGCAAGGGGAAGTCCTTCATACTTAACTGTTTCCTCCGGTATATGCATCACAAGGTTAGTAATAACAAAAACTTATCGAAAACTAACTAAATGTGTGTTCGAGAACTGGGCGAGATTGGAACTGCTATGCGGGGATGAGGATTCCTATCACAAAATGTTTCTCTATTTTTAATTCTGGTTTAATAATAATAAAACAAATGGTCCTTCGAGCTGGATGTGCGATATTTCACTATGTGTAACATTACATATCTTGTAGCAACATTTCTTTATGCAGTACGGCCCCGGCGGGGGTGGGGACTGGTTGGGCGCGGATGACGAGCCGCTGGAGGGGTTCAGCTGGCGCGGCGGCTCAGAGCGCGACACCACTGGCATCCTCATGTGGTCAGAGGTCTTTAAGACGACGTTACCCACTGGAGAGAAGGTAACTTTTGTTTAAGAATAGGAATGTTTAATGGTTTATGAGGGGGTAGATTGTAATATCCCTAGATAATTTAAAACTACTCAGAATCTGAGTAGTTACAACAGAATCTTGTGTAACTTTAATGTTAGAGCTTAACAGTAAGGTAATGCTTGTCCTTGATATTGCAGTCATTGGTAGTAGTATGAGTTAAGTACCTTTGTTTAAAGACATTGTCCAAAATATGCTCCATTATGTTCGTAAACAAGTTTTTTTAGCTTTTTCGTTACACTGGGTGTTGTGTGCAGGTGGCGGTGATCCTGTTGGACACGCAGGGCGCGTTCGACAGTGAGTCGACAGTACGCGACTGTGCGACCGTGTTCGCGCTCTCCACCATGCTCTCCTCCGTGCAGATATACAACCTCTCGCAGAACATACAGGAAGACGATCTGCAGCATCTACAGGTAACACTGCACACATCTTGATATTTTGCAGTGACCCACTGTCAGGAGATAGTTTGCCAATACATTAGTATTAAGGTCCTCTTTAACTGGTAAAATTGTCGTAAAGTCGAGGACATTTTTGGTTGATATGCTTTTATGTAACTGTGGCTAAATGTACAGTCGCGGAAATACGCGGTGTGGAACATGAAAAATTTCCTTGTTCATTGTAACGAGACAATCTCTTCCTACAAATAACTAGATAGCAGTGAGTGCAAACGAAGGGATAATAATAAAAAAAAACTACCAGTGTATCAATAATCATTTTTTTAGTACAGATACATTTATAAGCGGCGTGTATTGGCTTTTATTCCGCGATGTCAACTTGCCCTTATCCCTTACGTCGGCACACTATGTGCTGCTCTCCCATACATTTCTATCAGCCGTCTTAACTGAATCCACTACCTTCTAAAGCATATCCTCTTTCACACATACTTTCTTCGGTCTTTCTATTTCTTTGTAGTGATTAACACTTTCTGGTCTAAAGGTTTTTTCCGCGTGTCTTTTTAACATGATAAAGCTATTGTAGCTTTTAAAGTGGTGCACCGACTGTTTCCCCGATTGTACTTGCCATTCTCTACATACAACGTTTTTGAACTTGTAAAGATTATAAGGTATACAAGGTTTCCGTCATAAATGTTGCTGGTTGTCAGCTGTTCACAGAGTACGGTCGCCTGGCGCTGGAGGACAGCGGCCGCACGCCATTCCAGCGGCTGCAGTTCCTCGTGCGCGACTGGAGTTTCCCTTACGAGGCGCCTTATGGTGCCGAGGGTGGGCAGGCCATACTGCAGCGCAGGCTCAGGGTACCTATACACATATAGACAATCATAAGTCCCCTACCCTGTTCTACGTTAGGTGACTAGGCTATAGACAACCACGCTAGACTGTTGATTAAATATCTTTGGATTTCTTCAAATATGTGCAGGCATCACGATGTTTTCCTTAACCGTAAGAACAAGGGGTTGAATCGGATTTCACTTGTACATTTGCATATGAAATTCGAAATATGTAGTAGTAATACACTTATAATCTTACTAATATTATAAATGCGAAAGTTTAGATGGATGTATGGATGATTGTTAGCGTTTGTAGCCTAAACGGATGAACGGATCTCCGTAAATTTGGCACAGTTTTAGAGCACAGTCTGGAAAAACACATAGGCTACTTTTTATCCCGGGTATAGTTACAGTTCCCGTGGGAATAATTAATTTAGTTTTTTACTGTTTACTCGATCATTCTGCAACGGTTCAACATATCTTATTGAAATTTGGCACAGATATAAAACAAAGTATGGAGTATATATGGGATAAGGTTCATCCCCGAGAAATTTTAGGTTCCCGAGGGATACGTAGCTTTTTCTTATTTATATAGTTCGTATGTTTTCTCCGGACGAAGTCGCGGGCAACAGCTAGTAAAGTATAAAGATTCATTTATAAGTAATTTTTTTCTTCAGGTATCAGATAAGCAGCATCCAGAGCTGCAGTCCTTAAGAAAGCACATCACCTCCTGCTTCTCCGAGATCGCCTGCTTCCTGATGCCGCATCCTGGACTGAAGGTTGCCACGGACCCCAACTTTAATGGCAGGCTGGCCGGTAACTATCTATACTAATATTATAAAGAAGAAAGATTTGTATTTTTGTGTGTATTGAAATAACTCAAAAATAGAATCTCAATTTAAAAAAAAAAACTCAAAATCAAATTTTAAAAATACTTTTAACGTTAAAAAGCTAGGTTATCACTAAGTAAGGATGTTTTTTATTACTTTTTAATTTTACGAAGACGATGTCGCGAGCATCAGTTAATATCTTATATAGGGTGTTGTAAACCACTAATGAACCCTTTTACGATTAATGTTTTTTAGGTATTGAAAATTTTTTTAACGTTCTTGTTATTAGAACAGGATCTTAAAGACAAATATTTAGCTAAATTATGATATAGCTTAATCAACATATAATACCCCTTTTCTTGTTAGTGTATCTGTAGAGATACTTCAGAATTTTTTTTTTATTATTTTTTCTAAACACCTTGGGTCATCTAGGTTAAGTGCTATGAATATTATTTTGAAATTCGAAAAAATAAAATTCTGCCAAATTAAGGGTAGGAAAGAATAATTTACAAGAATTTACTAACGTTTTTCACATTGAATTTTTAAACCTGTAAATATATTTAAATACTATTACAGGATGTTTTAAAATTAATCTCAACAAGGCACAGGATGTTTTAAAATTCATCTCAATAAGAGAAAACCTTTTTTTCTGTATAAATGCAGACATTGAGGCGGAGTTCAAGCGCGCGCTGCAGCAGCTGGTGCCGATGCTGCTGGCGCCGGACAACCTGGTGCCGAAGCTGATCAACGGGCAGCAGGTGAAGGCCAAGGACCTGCCGCAGTACTTCCGCTCCTACATGAACATATACAAGGGCAACGACCTGCCGGAACCTAAGAGCATGCTTGTGGTAACGTCACTTTTGATCCTCTACCTTTTAAGTCTGTTAAAAAAGCTTAAAGATATGCGAAGTTGTAAAAAAAAATAAATATAGTTTTAGTAACTATATTTTTTTTTTTTGTAATCTTTGGTTTGGTAATCTTACTCACTTTAATCCTTAATACTAATATTATAAATGCGAAAGTTTAGATGGATGGATGGATGTTAGAGTTTGTAGCCTAAATTGCTGAACGGATCGAATGATGAAATTTGGTATAGATGTAGAGGATTATTTTTCACCCAGACGGAGTCGCGGGCAAAAGCTAGTAATATTATAAATGCAAAAGTTTAGATGGATGAATGTTAGTTACTAAGTATTTCCATAACGGCTCAATAAATCTCGCTGAAATTTGAATGAGATGTAGACCGGTTTTAAAGAACATACAAATACTAGTAAAGTTTTATTTTTAATTCAACTAGTATAAAAAACCGAATTGTGTGTTTCAGGCAACAGCAGAAGCAAACAATTTAACAGCGGTGGCTGAAGCTAAGGAGGTGTACACGACGCTGATGGAGGAGGTGTGCGGCGGGGCGAAGCCCTACCTGCAGACGCAGCTGCTGGAGGCGGAGCACGGGCGCGCGCGAGACAAGGCGCTGCACGCATTCCACGCAAAACGCAAGATGGGCGGCGACGAGTTCAGCCACGCCTACTGCGAACAACTTGTACAGGTACACCTCCGATACACTATCTTTGTTTAAAATACTATTCTGTGGCAAACGAGCAAGGCACCGCCTTAATTCGCCGAAATAGCGAAGCTACCGCTGCCCATAGATATCCGCAATTGCAGATACGTTGCCTACCCTAATCGACGGAGGATTACACACACAAAAGAGAATATTTCCCCTTCCTATGCATCACCTCCACTTTTCCTTCTAATCCTCTCTTAAGAGTGGAAAGGGAAAGAGACTAAAATCATTCCTACGGCACCACTCAACAGACTGTACGCGGAATTGCTTCCACTTCACACCTGTCTTCTGTGTGGTTGTGGTATTACACGTGGTATGTAAGATATCAGCAATCAGAGATAAAAATTCGAGATGAATTTACCGAAATACACCAATTTTACTTTGTTACTTGCTTAAGTGTTTACAAGTATAGTAACAGAAGACTATTCTTGCAGGATCTAGAGGAGCAGTTCGTCCAGTTCCGAGGCCACAATGAGAGCAAGAACATCTTCAAGGCGGCGCGCACGCCCTCCGTGTTCTTCGCGATCGCGATGTTCTTCTACGTGCTGAGCGGCGTGTTCGGTCTGCTCGGCGTGTACGCGTTCGCGAACCTCTGCAACCTCGCCATGGGCGTGGCGCTGCTCACCCTCGTCATGTGGGCCTACATCAGGTATGTTGGGCACGCTGAGCGTCTAGTGTTCTACAATCTTCATACTAATATTATAAACTGGCTTTCCCCCGCGACTGAGTCCGCGTGGAAGTAAAAAAAAAAATGTAAGTAGCCTATATGTTCTTCCAGACTATCTTCTAAACCAAATTTCATAGAAATCCGTTTAGCCGTTTAGGCAACAAACTCTAACAAACATCCATCCATCAAACTAAACTTTCGCATTTATAATATTAATAAATAAGATGTGAAAGTTTAGATGGATGAATGGATGGATGTTTGTTGTGAATTTTGAAGTGATTTCGACTGGAAGAACACAAAGGCTAATCACTTTTATTTTTTTTAACTCCACGCCGACGGAGTCGCGGGCGAAAAATAGTTATTCAATGAAAACGTTTTATTGTTCCACAAATGTTCACATTCTTTTAAGACTGCCTCCTATTAAAGATCAATTTTTAACTTCCAGATACAGCGGGGAGATGCGGGAGTTTGGTGTCACTATCGATGAAACAGCAAACTGGCTATGGGACAATGTAAGTTAAAATACATCTAACACAAAAAAACCATTACTTGTGTCTTTTTGACACTAAAAGGCCAAGTTTTTATCAAGTCTGTGATCAATAAAGGGCCTTCAAACGGATGTTAAGATATTTCCTTGTTACAGATAATGAAGCCAGCTTACCAGACGTGTTTAGAGAAGGGTATGGAGCACGCGGCGGCCGCAGCGGCGGAGCGCACCCTCGGCCCCTCCCCCGCCGCCGCCCCCACGCGCTCCACGCCCAGCGCCAACGGCAAGCACAAGCACTTGTGATGCCGGCCGCCGCGCCCCGCGCACACGCGCCCTGGCCCAACTGACACTGACAGCCCATTGCCACGCCCTGGCACACGAGCTGGCAATGTCACACTAATGCCGGGATGTGGCGAACAAACTTACAATATCAACCAACGGTCTTACTGTGACAAACTAACTACTAATGTCAGTCAACGGTCAAACTCAGGCAAACAAGCTGACGATGACAGCCAACGGTCAAACTGTGGAAATCAAGCTAGTATAAGCCAACGGTCATACTGTGGCAAACCAGCGTGTGTCAGTCAATGGCCAGATCTTAGCAAACAAACTGGCAATGTTAGCCAATCTACAGACTTTAGCAAGCAAGCTGACAATGTCAGTCAACTGTCAGACTCTGCCAAGCGAGCTGACAATAGTCAACGGTCAGACTGTAATATACAAGCTGCCAGTGTCAGCCAACGGCCACATTCAAGCAAAAAAGCTACCAATGCGAGTGTATTTCGCCACTGGAGATGGCATAACACAGGACTAACATATTTTTAGACTAAAGGGAGAATTTGTGAACCAAATCTTGTTATATAGTTACTCTATGGCCTCGAGAGCTCTATGGTTTTGGTTGCATGTGAATGTATGAAAATTGTATAAAAGTTTGCTCATTATGATAGAAAATTGTGAAATTATTGAATTTTTATACTATCTGGAGGATATTATTTTGAAACGTACTACTTGGAAAAACATCATAGAGAAATTAACAAGATTAAATCAATTGAAAAGCAGCACATACATTATTATGGGAATTCTGGATATTTTAAAGATGGAAAAAAATCGATAGAAAAAAACATTAGCCATTAGCTGCGAAATGATGAATCTACCAAGAGTTATAGACATTTTAATTAGAATAATTTAGGAGAAAAGCAATAAAGATGTTGTGAAATGATGCATACATTGATTTTAGAAACTGTTGGATATCATAAAATATTGTTTTAAAAAATCAATCAATAGAAATTTAGATATTTTAAAAAGCTGTAAATACCTAGGCTATAAAACTATCGATATTATCGAATGTAAAGTTTGCTATCTCCAGTAGTCGATATGTCTGGGATTCCGGAAAGTGCTAAATAAAAATGCTCTCTCATACCTCAGATCATATCATATTGAAGGAAGAGCTTATTTAGAAGAAAATTCAGTGTTAAACTTATGTGTAAATTAAAAGTGAACATAATGTGAATATTGTGGATAACAGTGAAATGTGGAGAACTATAGTAAAGAATGGTATGTACAGTCAGCTGCACAAACATGTATAGATTTTTATTACTTAAGAAACTTGAATACACTGATTTCAATGTACAACTATTTATAATATCAAAACTCGTAAACACACACTTTATTGTGTAGGATGTTAACCATCACGGCATATTTTTGAATAATCCGTTTTTAAATAAAAACCCTACAATTGCATCACACTAAGTTTTCATGTTATTAAATTTTGGGGATAAATAAATTGGAAAAAACAAATGTAATCTAAGAAAGGATGAAAATGTAGAAGCCAATAAAAGTAAAGAATCAAGATTGCCATGGTAACAGTAATTGTTATCCAGCGGCAAAAACCTTCCTTGTCATTTGAATTTTTAAATTTAAAGTTTTTCGTAATTTAAACTATAAAATACGGTTGTATAATGTGGGGATAAACATGCATGAGCAAATTAACACATACATGCATATAATTGAAACGGAAGGCATGTTTCTGAATATTTTAATGTATACATATTTATGACGCTGACTGTACCTAGTTAATTACAGAGTAAATATATTAATAGATAAATTGTTTTGTTTTAAATTCTATATGTGGGTATCGGCTGTTGGTTGGGGGTTTACATATTGTACAGTGCTGTAGACAAGTATTTACAAATAGTTGTTATATATTGTTCGATTAATCTGACCTGAGCTCTTTTGTTCTTGAAGCTTTATAAAGGTACATTGTCACTTTTGTTCTTGACTGTTGCTTTTTTCAGTTTATTTGATAAATCTGGACGGAAATATTGTTATATTTTTTATAGATTGATGGTTTTTGTATTTTTAATAATGGCAACAAATTGTCATAGATTAAAAAATTCTGTCTCTTGTTTTAGCCTTTTTAGATTAATGGGACAATAGAAACATTTTACATAGATTAAATCTCTGTAGAGTGGTTTTTGTATATTGTAATTAATGTTGAATTATAGACTAACCAAGAATATAAAATAACTAGCCTGAAAGAATCAATTGTTATGTCACTAATGTGCGGTTAGTTTGTAGTTTTTTTATTCCTGGTTTGACTATATTTTACACTGTTTATGTTAAGTTGAAATCATTATGTTAATGTTCAGGCTGTTGCACAAATACAACATTTTATTAACAATATCAAAATTATAATCTATTTTGGACACACTTGTTGCGTTGCACGTTTTTTAGTACTTAACAATAATATGGAATGAATACTCGATTGTCTCTTCATGTACTTTGTAAATATATATTTTTCTAATACCAAACCATATCCGAAACTTTTGTAGAAATCTTTTTGAAATTGATGTGCCAATTTATTTGTATGTGATGAAGAAGATGTTTTGTGTTTTTCTTTATTTTTCGGTCGTCATCATGGGATTAAAAAAATATTGTTTTAGATTTTTATGTTTTATTATTTTTTTCGCTATTTACTGTCGCAATTATTTAAAATATGCACAATTTAAAATTGCTGGAATCAAAAAAATGCAACTTTTTTTTAATAAATTACCTTTTTTACCTTTCCAATAACACGATAGGAATAAAAAAAATTAATATAAATAGTAAACAAACATTTACACACTGCAACTGTAATCGGCATTTGATTTGGCACCTGAGGAACAAGCGTACTGTTTCGCCCAACGTGCCAACTCATTCTTCAGTACTATATTTTTGTCTCGAAGATATAATAAATTGAGTAAGTCTTGTATTGTAATTTAAAACAGTCACAATAAATAGGTTGTGATGCTTTTTTCATTTATGATATAGATTTAACCTAACAAATAAAGATTATATATGATCAGTTATGTCCCTTGTTTACGTTATTTTCCTTTTTTGGCGTTTGTTGCCTTGTCAATAAAAAGGCGCGAAAATAGAAGTCCTGATTTTTCTGTTTTAAAAATGTTACCAGCACTCTCAGCTTATAATTGCTTCCTGTTAAAGTCAAGGAATTATGTTTGCTTCTGTGTTTAAAATAAATAGTTTAAATTATGAAGTTTATGATTTTTTTAATCTGTGAATAAATATCTTATATATAGACTTATCACTTTTATTACTTTATTTTAATGTTTCAGTTAACATTTGTAGTTAAATCCTTCTCTGTTATAAATCGCTTTTTAATATATATTTTTTTTTATAATGGAGAGACCTCTCCATCCTCTGTCTAGTCCCAGTTATGAACAGCTGCTGGCGACGCCCACAGATTACCTTATTCAGTACAAAACATTTTTAATAATTTTTCTTGTTGCTAATAATTTACTATTTAGTTGAAATGTAAACATTTGTTGTCATATTGAACAATCTTATCTTGGATTTCTAAAACCACACTATTTTATCCATGTTTTAATTGATTTTCGTTACCAATATTGTTTGTACGCACCTAGATTTCCGTTTGGTGCCATATCGAAACACATTAAAAACATCTTTATATCTATGGTATTTTTTTTTTTGTTAATTATTCAATAACTATCTCCTTTAGTTTCGATTTCTTTACTTTTTAATCTAATGTCTTAAAGCAATTTTAACTATTTTGTTATATTACGCCCGTGATGACAATAATTGTAATAAAAATTGTAATATTGGAACAGTTGTATAAGCGACGCCGCCATGTTGTCGCGAGTTGACAAGATGGCGGCAACTGCGCGGGACGTTTTGACGCCTGTGAATTGGTTTCGGTTTAGTTGTTAATGGATTGATAATGTAATATATAATAAAATTCTTATTTTATTCTTCGTTCTTTTATTATTTAATTAAGTCATTTATACCAAAAAATATACTCATATTAATATTCATTTACAGTTGGCAATTAAAAAAGTTATAATTTATGAAGTACAAATTATTGGCACTCCTTTTGCGTTAGTCTCTTTTTTGGTTGTCTGTGGTCGTAACAGCCGCCGGCAGACTGCCCGACGGCGATAGATTTTGTAACATCTGTAAAATAATATTTAAAAAATGTATAGAAATTCCAAATATCAGTTTTAATCAACTCGAATGTCCATTTTCATACTAACATAATTCCTCAAAGTGATTGCAAACTCGTCCAATATTTCGCTAGCTTCTCGCATATGTCCGGTGAATCTGTGAAAAAAATAGATATTTTTTTTAAAATACCTCGTATATTTCCAATAGTGCCAGGCATTGTGCCGAACAAATACAGACCTATATAAATAAAAAAAAATGAAAAATAAGCAGACTAGGCAAAGTAAACAAAATTTTTTCACCGGTACTTTCTCTAAATGGTACTATATCAGTTGTCCTCTCAGAGGAAAGATTTGTGTTTTTGTATGTATTTAAATAACTCAACAACTGGGACTGGTCTGGGTCGATTTTAAACATTCTTGACCGTTAGAAAGGTAATTAATCTGTGAGTAACATAGGCTATATTTCTTTGTATCTGTATACCTGCTGTACATCCAGACGGCGAGTGCGCCGAGTGCCAGCAGTGCGAGCGCTTGTCCGAGCACCTCCAGTACGGTGAATGCGAGCGCGTCGCCGAGCATGCTCAGCACGCAGCCCGCTACGAGCAGCGCGCCGAACACAACGCCGCTACCGATTATGTTCAGTAGACTTTTACTCTCGTTTTGTGCCCGCAGACGATCGAATTGTTCTTCCAGTTCCTAAGAAGTGTATCATATATCTTACTAATAAGAAAGTTTAGATGGATGGATGGATGTTTGTTAGCGTTTGTAGGCTGAACGGATTTTGATGAAATTCTGTATGGATATAGAAGATAGTCTGGCAGAGCATATAGGCTATCTCTTTTTTTAATATTACAAGGATAGAGTCGCGGGCGATAGCTAGTTATATAAATAGTTAATTTTGCAGGAGTTCCCATTTTCTAAGGCATTCCTTTATCCATTAGTAAACTCCTGCTATGTAATTACTTAATTGTAGAAAAAGGCGGAGTTTCTCTCGGTGTAATGAACAAGGCAATTTTTCCTGAAATGGATCAACGTGTATCTATGTAAGCATAGAAAAAAAATCATATTTTGCGAATATACGCTAATGAAAGTCTAATTTTTCAAAACGTTCCGGTAATATTCCGATAAAACCTTCTTTGACGGGAAATTGCTCGTTATAGTTACAGATTATTTTTTAGTTTCGCGCAAGCGAAGTCACGGGCGATTTTATATACAAGTGTTTACCTGCACCAATTGTTCTCGGTAGGTGTCAGCCTTGGCGTCTCCTCCCATCTTCTTCTTGGAGGAGAAGCAGTGCAGCGCCTTGTCGCGCGCGCGGCGGTGCTCCTCGGCCAGGCGCGGCGGCGGCAGGTAGGGGCGCGCGCCCCCCGCCACCTCCTCCATCAGGCCCTCGTACACCTCGCGCGCCTCCGACACCGCGGACAGGTTGTTAGCTTGCGCCGTCGCCTGGAAACGTCAAATATGTTCCTCTCGAATCGACCGCGTCTTCACTTAGCTTAGGTGATCAAGCGCTGGTTGATTTATGTTAAAAAATGTATAGAAACACGTGTCTTTTCTTTAATTTTTTTATTAATGCGATGTTCCTAGCGACTTCGTCTACGTGAAATTAAATAATATAGCCTATGTTACTCACAAATAAACTACCTTTCTAATGGTGAAAGAATTTTTAAAATCGGCTCAGTAGTTTTTACGTGAATCGGTTTCATACAAAAATACAATTCTTTCCTCTTTATAGTATTAGTATAGATAGATAAATGTGACGAAAAATAAGTCAATTTCGTTTTTTACCAGTTTGTTTTTAAATTTTCAGATCTTTTATTTATTTAATCTGCACTGCAATAGACTAAAATACTAATTTATTTGAATTTCTTTGATTTACCTCCAGAATAGTTTGTGGCACCGGCAGTTCTGTTCCATTAAACACCTCCATATATGCTTTGATGTAGTACAGTAACTCCTTGGCCTTCAACGTCTGTCCTGATAGAACTTTGAGCTGCAAGTTCTGTGGCGCCAGGAGATACGGTACCAACTCTTTTAAACATTTCTTGAACTCTTCATCTATATCTGTTAATATGATAAAAAATCATTACCGATATCGTAATTATAAAATTATTTTATGATTTCCTTTTACAATTGAGAATAGCGCCATCTAACTACTGAATACTAATAATATTTGTTTAGCTTTATGTTTCAACGTTGTTGCCCGCGACTTCGTCCGCGTGGTATTAGAAAACATACAAACTATATAAATTACAAAAAGCTACGTATCTCTCTGGAACCGGACATTTCTCGGGGATGAAGCTTATCCCATGTGTACTCCAGACTTTGTTTTATGTCTGTGCCAAATTTCAATAAGATATGTTGAACCGTTGCAGAATGATCGAGTAAACATTAAAAAACTAAATTAATGAATCCTACGGGAACCGTAACTATTCCCGGGATAAAAAGTACCCTATGTGTTCTTCCAGACTATGCTCTAAAACTGTGCCAAATTTCATAGAGATCCGTTCAGCCGTTTAGGCTACAAACGCTAACTAACATCCATCCATCTAAACTTTCGCATTTATAATTATTTTATGATTTATAATTTCCTTTTACAATTGAGAATAGCGCCATCTAACTACAGAATACAGAAGTATTTGTTTAGCTTTATGTCTCAATTTTTTTTTTTAGTTTAGCTAATAAATGTTAATAAGAACTAATATTGTAATAACGACATTTTATTAAATTATTATTTCACCGTAAATTAAATGTTATAACGTTGTTTACCTGTCAGTTTCCCGTTGAACTCTTTGCTGGTGGCTACCTTCATGCCAGGGTGCGGCATCAGGAAGCAGGACAGCTGGCTAAAGAACGACCTGATCTCCCGCCGCAACGTCTTCAACTCCTCGTGCTGATTCTCATGTACCTGTTTTGGAAGGAATAAAGTCTCATTCTAGCTATTAGAAGCAAACAAGAAGAATAATGCAAAAAATAGAACTAAACCCTAAAGCAATTGAGTCTATTTTGAATTATTTCTTACTTCGAGTCTCTTCTCTAAGAGTTTGTTTCCTCCTTCAAGTCCGTATGGGTACTCGTAGGGCACGCTCCAGTCGCGCACGAGGAACTGCAGGTGCTGGAATGGCTTGCCCTCCGTCTTCTCCAGCGCGACCCGCCCGTAGTCTGTGAACAGCTACAGTAAATGAATACATTAAAATAACGTTGAAATAAATTCGTCCAAACATTGTATTTCTGTAACGGAATGAATTTAAATTTAAAATCGTTCGAAACCGTTAGGAAATTTTGGTATTGCGCCACTTGTTTTTCCAGACTGTCCTCTACATCTATGCCAAATCTAGATGCGATCATGAGTTTAGGTTACAAACTCTAACAAACATCCATCCATTAAAGTATAAATTTTCATATATATACTAATTTTAACTATAAAGAGGAAAGATTTGTATTTTTGTATGTATTGAAATAACTCAAAAACTACTGGACAGATTTTAAAAAATCTTTAACCGTTAGAAAGGTAATCTGTGACTAACTTAGGCTAATTTTTTAATTTTTTTTTTATCATTTCAACATTTCACGCGGACGAAGTCGTGAGCAACAGCTCGTTTATAACATTAGTAAGATAATTCCTACCTGTAAATGCTGCAATTCATCCTCCTCTATGTTCTGCGACAGATTATATACCAGGACAGAGGATATCATGGTAGAGAGTGCGAACACGGTCGCGTTGTCGCGTACAGTCGACTCGCTGTCGAATGTGCCCTGCGTGTCCATCAGGAATATCGCCACCTGATAACGTTCAGTGTAGGAGTTTTTATATGTTTTGTTACTGTCAGGCAACACTTTACATAGATAGGTTGGTTTTAATATTGGAACAATGTATTTATATTTTATAAAGAATTGTACAATTGATGTTTCATACAGGACTTCTCTCGTCACGTACTGCGTGACGTATAAATATATGGAGGCCTAATTTAAGTCCCTTTCTCTTTACCACCCTTTTCTTATAAGGAGAGGTTGGGAAGAGGAAGTGGATTTGACGGTGGAGGAGATGCGTAGAAAAGGGAAATATCCTCTTTATGTGCGTCTCCTCCTCTGTCGTATAAGGGTAGGCAACGCATCTGCAATTGCGGATGTCAATGGGCAGCGGTCGCTTCGCCATTTTGGCGGTTTCAGGTGGTCGCTTGCTCATTTGCCACCTTATGTTATATATATAAAAAAAATATGAGATTGTATAGAAATATAAAATGTGATTTTTTATGCTGTGTTTCAATAGCCTACAACCTATACCTTTAGAGTCCGGGACGGCAGAAAGCAACCGTCCAACATGCAAGCATTATTTTCGTACCATAAACAACACGAGTTACGCAATTATCAACTAAATGTTATGCTTCCTTAAAAATATCTTAATTGGTCAAAAATATTTTTAACCTGTGGTCTTGTGACACTCCTCTATTATAGTTTGTCAAAATAAATTAGAGTATTTAATAACGACCCCATCGTTATTAAATAATCATTAAAATAAGAAGAAGAAGAAGTAGATTAGTTTGATAAATGTCGCATATGAAGTATCGAATTCAATTTGTATGAAGACAAATGCCATACTTAATAGACATGTATCGTAGTGACGAAACAAACACGCAGCGAACAATTATGAACTATCGATATTTGGTTTAAATAATTATCGAACTCAACTAAAATTAGTATTTTCTTATTAACTAACTTAGAGGATAATTCTATTATTGATTATAGTGTAGAGAATTTAGCGATGTCAGAAATAATAGCGAAATCCAATTCGATTACGTACGACTGTAGTAGTAATAAACATTTATTTACCCTCATTATCTGTTATGGTCATTGTTAATCTGAGAAAACAGTGTTTTTTTTATTTCATATGTTTATAACTATAAATCTATCGATTCCAACTTCTATAAGAATAAAAATCGAAAATCGGTTACATTCATGACTGTTTTTACACAACCCATCCCTACTAAATTTGAAGTGAATTGTCAAACTAATCTAAATTATTTAGACACACTATACCAGCCGAATGCAATATATCCAGTGAAAACATTTAACCGAATCCTGATATATTTCTGGGGGTTTTTCCTTGAACTTGGACGATTTAATAATAAATTAAGAAATAGTCTTCTTTTTCTCATTTATATTAATTTAGCGAGATAACTATTTAAATTATTGGTTTTCCCACCAATCATATTTTATGGCATTTGTGTATTTTTATTATAATTCGTTGAAGTCAAAGGCAACACGACAATACGACTAAGTTTTCTGCACCAAATCTCAAGCTTTGCGAATTAACAAAATTAATTATTGAATTACTTAAGGAACATTGAATAGCAATTTTAAAATCTGATTTAAAAAAATGCTTCGATCCCTGAATATAAAATTAACGTGACATTAGATTATACCTTCTCTCCGTTGTGGAGTGTGGCTTTGAAGGGCTTAGACCAGAGTAGGAGGCCGGTGGTGTGTCGCTCGGAGCCGCCGCGCCAGCCGAAGCCCTGCAGCGGCTCGTCTTCTGGCCCCAGCCAATTGTCATCTTTAGAGTTTAACACGTACTGAAAATAAAGTATTGTTTAGCAAATTCGTTCTTCCAGACTATCCTCTGCACCTATACCAAATTTCATTGAAATCCGTTCGCCCGTTTAGGCTACAAACTCTAACAAATATTCATCCATCAACCCATCCAAACTTTCGCATTTATAACAGTAGTATAATTAAAATTTTAAAATAAGATCGGAGTATTTTAAATGCTGACCGTGTGATGTAAATAGCGCAGGAAAAAGTCTAGAAGGAAGGACTTTCCTTTGCGGAAAGCGCCGGCGACGGCCACTAGAACCACGGAACGATTCCGCACGTCAGGACTATCTAGTAATTCCGCGAGGCTTCTCTCGTCTAGCTCGAAGGTGTGGTCCGGCTTCGGACTGACAATCTGCAGCCCTCTGCCGTCAAGTACCTTTTCTGAAGGTTCTGGAATATAACAAATATAGTTCCAATAGTGGTAGAATACGCTTAAGCTACTAGGATCACCTGTTGGTTTTTTGCAACTCAAATGTCGCCGTATACATAATAATAAAAAAAATCAAATATGTAATAATATCTGTGGAATCAACTAGTCTCTGCATCTTATTAGAAATCTTCAATGGCTGGTTTTGTTTATGGTTATTTTCTGGGGAATTCCTTTTCATATTAAAAAAAAACGGTTTTCATTTTAAATTTTTGGCTGTGCCTTTTCCTTAATACATGAAATTTTATAGATTTTATTACGTAATCGGGATATTTCTGTAACAAAACTGTGCTACATTATTAGCTTTACATCGGAAGCTTGAGTCATTAATTGGTCGCTGATTTGAAATATATGTCATATTTTAATTATTACAAATATAAGAGATCATGTCAACTTTGGTGATAATGGTTCCTTGGTGCTTTTATTAAATGTTTTAAAAGTTGCAGCGCGATCGAGAGACTCCCGCCATTTTTAAAATTCGAACTCGCAACCTTGAGAACCAAACGTCAAAGTTTAACCACTACACCAGAACGGCAATAACTATGTATATCCTTAATACACAAAACTACGCTTGTTAATTCTTATAAGCCTTGTGATTTAAAAAACTTGTAGTGACTCATATACATAACTACATACTATATGTTTTTAAATTCAATGTCAAATCGTATATCAGTATATTTTTACTATCTTAGTAGCTTCGACCACCCAATATTAAGATAAAAAGTATCGTATAATATGCCCGTCTATGTCAGCTACCCTTCAGAGATTATCCTGAACAAACGCGGCTTGCGGACAGACAGACCGACAGACAAAAAAATTTTACGACTTTCGTATCAGCAACGCAAATACATCATCTTCCCGAATTATGTTTTTCTTTTGATATTACAGACACTCCAATTTTATTATATGTATGTATATTAAGAGTTTGACCACATTGTTACAAAGTTAAAAAAAATACTAATTTAGTATAAGAATACTTGAATCACTTTAAACATGATTAATGCACAAGAAGTTCATAATATTCAGTTTTAATCGGATATATTTAAAGTTTTCTGTTCGCATAAATCTAGACAAGGGCTTGAAGCACCGACCTTGAGTTACAAAGTCAGACATAAACAATGACTTATACGAACCTTACGGTTTGTTTTTTTTTTACTTTTTTAATACAAAATTAAAAAAATTTACTTCGTAAACGCTATACTATGGTCATGAAAAATATCATTGTTAGTTTTTCTTACGCCAATAATTAGCACGTATTTTTTATTTGTAAAGTAATTTACAGGTATAATTAAGTGTTATCCATACCGAAAAAGCAGTTAAATAAATGCATTAAAAATATTAAATTATTACTTACTGGCCATCTATAACAGTTCACAATAAAAACGAGAATGTAAATAACGAGCTCAAGGGAGACACGTTCTCGCGGGCGAGGCGGCGTCTAGACTGTTTATATCGTAGGAGCACTAGGCATGTACCTAAAACCTATCGATATTCGCCCACGTACCTCAAAAATTAAAGCATGCGCTATGTTAGTTTTTTATTATATGTCGCTGTTCGTTTTAACGTATTCAAGTACAGTAACAGATCATAGATTAAGTGGCATACGAAATTCTAAATTGTCTGATTACAATCCAAAGTGTAAAATTTGTGATGGAAAAAATCGGAATTTGTTACCTTTCTGACAGTGACGTCATTTTTAAGGTATCTGAGCCTCTATCAGTCAGTGGTGGGACAGGCCCTTACTAAATTATGGAATAAGTTAACTAAAATCTTATGAATTTTAATATATGACTTATCAACGATATAAGTTAATACTAAACTAAGTTAACCTGTTTAATATTTTCTTAAACTTAGCTGCGATGTACCGAATCCGTGGAATTATAATAACAAAGATAGTTGTTGCAAATTACAACATTGTACTTAATCTTAAGTACTTAAAAATATCGACAGTTTTGCTAGACATCACTATAACGCAAGTCTGTATTCTCGACAAGGCGTGAGGTCAACTGATGATGTCAGCATCGGATCGGCGGGAGTTCTACGCGACTCAGGTGATATCACACACCAGATTTACAATGTCAGAGTCTCCACTGTTGCGATACATGTATAACAATGTGTTGGCCATCTGGTGGATGTTGATAGAAACATTTATTTTTGGTATGACAAACTGGCAGATCAGAACACTACGACGTCATCATTCTCGACACCCCTAGGATTACGAGTACTCCGTTTTGCTTTTAAACATGATTGAAACCTTAAATAAACTTAACATACTAGATATAAATATATTTATTTAAGACAATTTTTTACAATCAATGAAAATTTTAATAAAAGGCAAAATTATTCCGTCTTTACAATTAGCGCCATCTATTACGACTAAAATGAAAATTTAAATAAACATCTTTTTAATAACATTAGCATATTCTGCATTTATCTTGTCTAGAATTCCTTTAATTTCACCAGCTTTGTTCCGTGCTGTTTTATCATTGGGATTTAATACTACCACTTTTTGTATATCCTTCCAAGCTTCATCATACATCTGCAGACAATGGTAAGCAGTACAGCGTCTATACAATGCTTTCACATTATCGTTGTCTAATATTATTGCACGGTTACAGAGATCTAATGCGGCTTGATATTCACAAAACTGTAGCTGACAGTGCGCCAAGTTATTGTATAACTTTACCTGAAATTTAAATAAATCAACTTGAAAAATTATAATTATTAATTGAATTATTAAGTAAAAGTAACATACTTTCAAGTCTTTTATTTCATTCAAGGATTCATCAGTAATTTCTTCTGGATTCACAGGTTCGATAGCTACTAAAAACTTAAATGCTTTACTAAACCTCCTAAATGCATCTATTACTCTCTTCTCTTGAATCAAAGCCACTCCTTGCTCTTTATGATGTGTAGCTGCTTCAAGCAATCTCGCCCAACTCCAATCGCTCACTAATTGTTCTTCTGTAACTTCCTTTAACTCTATCTCACATGATATCTCTTTGACTACTTCAAAGTTCTGATTTTTATAAACAATTCTGGCAATACAAGTCTCACCGCAACACATCTGTTGCAGGATTAACTCGAAATCTTTATCAATAAAGGTATCTGCTTCTCCGATTATAAATACGCCATCAAAGTTTTTATTTAATATACGACTTTCTACGTCTATTTCAAGATCTTCATTGCTCGTATGCACATTGGAAAGCAAAATTTTACATCGAGACTCCTCGTATGGCACGATAGAATAATCACCCGGTGTTATAATTTTCTTAGTAATTTCTCTATCTGGTCTGGTACTCACTATTGATTCTTGCTGCATTTTGAATACGTACACTGTATCTGTTAAATTTTACCACAGTCTTTCATTGGTAGTTATGATTATATATTATTTAAGTTATTTTTTACTTAAGTAAATAGAGCAAGGTTACTTTTTATTTTTTTGTTGTTTGTTTGTTTTGACAATTGACTTGACACTTATACCAAAAGGTTGCAAATTGCTGTAAAATAACATGACAAGTTTATTTAGTTAAATTTAAGTTTAATTTGTTAGTTGAAAATAGAAATCAATGATAGATATTAAAAAAATAGTAGGTACCTATATGATTTTTTTTTAAACGTTAAACTAGTTTTTTTTTATTTTTAATATAATGTTAGGAATTTGCCTTACCTGTGGGGAAAAGCAAGTGTCAATGTCAAATTCTGCGAATATTTTGAATTTTTGTTAATTTATTTTTATTTTGTTATATTTTTGTTTTGCAAAAAATGACGCTCCATTCTAATTAAATATTTTTACGAAAGATTAACTCGACGAATTCTATAACTTCAATTACAGATTTGAAAAATAACTTCTATTGTGGTTATATTTTGAGGTCCGTAAAATTTAGTGTCAGATATGAGACCAATGTTTAATTTTGAAATAATTTAATACTATTTCTATATGTTTATTTAGCAGATAACATGGCTCAGATATTGAAGAATGTTTGGAGGAATGTGTTGAGTGGAAGCTCATTTACTAAAACCCCATTCAAAGCTACCAATTTCACAACAAGCTGTGAGTTATTTATCAAATTTTGTATTAATCAACGTTGCATAATTTTATTATCAATCAAGAATATAAGACTATGTAATTTTTTAGTGTCTGAAGTAGGATGGGTGAGGAGTACAGATACAATAATGTCAACTATTAAGTCTGCACCAACACCAGAGAACATCCTTGCAACAGTTCAGCAACACCTACCTTTAATGACGCATAAACACCTTTTGCAAGCTCTACGCAGTCTCTTTGAACTGCAGAAGTCTGGCAAGTTAGTACTCCGTACTTTGTGATAATCTTAAATAAGTAATACACAGTCAACACTCCTTACAAGTGATGCTGTACTTACAGTTTTTCAACTTGCAGGCAAGTTATTTGTAGACAAATCTTCATATGCACACCTAAAATTTGGCGGTTTCAGCATCTGCAACATATTTCCAGGACATGATCTGTATTTGATTGAATTTTTCTGTTGTGTTACCAGTATTGATAAATTTATTGACTTATTGTGATTTCTGTAACTTGACAACATTTTTCCTATTTCAGATTCGAACAAACTGATGAACTCATAAAAGATCCAACATTCGGTGTACTCTGTCAGAATGTTAAAAAGCATGCAAGAGCCCTTGATGTCAACGAAGCTATAGAAGCTATTAAAGTACTCTCATACCTGAGTGTTCCCGTCGACTCTCTGATCGTACAAACAATGCTTCAATTGATACGTGCAAACATAAACCTTATAAACATAAGACAGATTATGTTCTTAGACTTTCTTCTCGATCAATTTGACAGCAAGAATCATTTAGTAGATGTACTAAAGCTAGCATTACCACTCACTTTCCAAATACATTTACCACTAGAATTAGACAACAATGACCTACATCTTCTAAAAGATATGCTGATCTACAGTTGCAATCACGATCTACCAGACCGTTGTATCAACAACATTGTCACCGGTCTTTTATTACACGATCAGAGAATAGACGCCCAAACTGCCAAATCTATAGTCTGGTCTCTCTGCCAAGTTAACTGCACAGAAAAGGTCTTTCCAACTAGAGTTCAATTATTGCATATTTGCTACGACATACTAGCGCAAAGGATGGACCAGTTGCACTATAATGAGGTATTGAGAACTGTCGCCAGGATCAAGGGTCGAGTTCTGGAGAAGCATCCAGAGTACTACCAGGAACAGCTGTTAGATGCAATTGCTGATTCCGTTATCAGGAATAATGTAGAGTTTGAGCCTGCATTGCTAATCGCTCGGGTGCTGTCTAGAGTTGTGAGTCAATTTGATATTAAATAATTACTTTAAGTACCTACTGAATAGTAGTAATGATGATGTTTTTTTTAAATTTATTTCAGGCACATACACATTTAGGTCTAATGGAGTACCTCTGTAATTTAGCGTTAAATGAAGAAAACAACCTTTCCACCGCTCGCACGAATATTCTCTTTAGTTTCATCAACTGCTTGTCTAATAACAACTTCACACCGGATCCCGAGCAGTGGGAGGTTATTCGCAATAATATATCGGAGAACCCAATCTTAAGTGCTACCAATGCAGCATTGCCGTGGACAAAAGTGTGCCTCGAGCTTGCCTCACTTGAACACTATGATGAGAAACTGCTTCAAAAAGTTTTCTCTGAACAGTTTCTGACTGAGTATCTCGGACGTGAAAAGAACACTTTAGATTTACTCCAATTACTTACGTTACATGAAGCTGTGAATGCTTTTTATAGTGATGAATATAAGTTGCCCGAGGATATAATACAAAAGGCAAAGGATGCATACCCAGTTCATGCTGCAACAGATAATGTAATGAACTATTTAGCTCGAGGTTTGGGTGGCGAGGAATACGTGGCCAAAAATGTAGTATTACCGAGTGGAGTTGTTGCCGGTGAGTTAAACTAAAACACTTTTCGTATACAGTTTTTAAATTATTTTTATGTTTTATTGAATATTTAATTTTTTTAGATCTATTTTTGTCTTTGAAAAACGGCACTCCAGTTATGATCCCGAAAGTAAAGCAGGCACAAAATGAAAAAACGCCAATTGAAAAACTTAATCTGCCGATGGACGCGTTGCCGTAAGTCTTATTTTCAAACTATGTAGTACCTCTTATTATTGTGTTTTACTTTGGTATTTGGCATTAAACTCTTTCTGTGCATCCTCATGCCTATAGACAATGCATCAGCAAATGTGGACGTTTATAGATAGCTTCGCTATTTTGGCGACTACTGGTGACCATTCTCAGAGCTCATTTATATCAAAAATCTTTGTTTTTCAGCATTTGCATTTTAATGTTCAACCAAGGTTGCTATTCAATGAACAGTAACCGACTGCGCGGTACATTCCGCTTAGTATTGGATACGTTGGAAAAACAAGGCTACGCCGCCATGTCTATTAATGTATCGGAGTGGATGAAGACTCCCAGCCACGAACGTACTCCCTACCTCATGCGGGAAATTGACTACAAGTGTGGCGAAATAGGAATGAAATTGTCGGCCACTTGAGAACTGCAGAATTAACAATTGTGACCATATTGCACCATGGATTATGTAGACAAAATTCTAGTAAATATAAAAAAATCTTTTCTGTTAGGACTTCTTAAATTTTTATTAAAGTGTTTTGATTAAAGTTTTTAATGTTTTTTTTATGATAAATGAGATGCTCTTTCCAAAATGATTATTTATTTGAGTTTTGAGCTATACAGACCGAAGCAACATTTTCCCAACAACTCGGAAAATCCTAAAGAATTTCTGTTAGATTCCTGTGACGTAATTAATGCATCTTGAGTGCCGATAATAACAGCACCCCCTTTTCTGTATAGTATAGTATCTATTTATTAAAAAACAACATTGAGCCGTTATTATCTACTTATTTAACTGCATTTGTTTAAAAATAATAATTTGGTTTTATAACTTCTGTTACGAAAATCGGTAAAAACCACAACATAAAAATGAACTCAGCTGATAAGAAACCTATTTGAATGTCAAATATTATCTGTAACCGTGTCACTGTCAATTCTGTTTCTGTCAAAGCAAACGTCATTTCCGTACTTCAAAACAAAGTTGAAGAGGGATTTTTGATTGCTTCCTTAGATTTTATTTAATGTCGTAGATTGTTGTATTATTGCTAAACTTATTACTTATATAAACTTTTTACCGTTGTTACATTTTATCACATAATTTATTATTAATAGATGGTGCCAAATACTTCGGAAAGTAATGACATATCCACCGTGAAGTTATGAAGATCTATTCGCAATGTTCTTTATTGTTTATTCTAACTACAGTAACAATATGTGAAACTAAATACGGATACGTAACTTGGCAGGAGAATAAACTAACGTTTAAAGACTGCGAGTCCGCATCACAAATACCAATAACGTTTGGAGCTCGCGCGACTTTTAAAAACGAGATAAATTCCACAGGGTAAGCCCCATTAAAAAATTACGCACGTTTCGTTTAAATTTTGGACAATGTAATATTTTGTCAATCAGAGGCTTTCTGATACTGTTCTTTACTGCTGTCTATACTATTAGTTCTATTTACGTCCAGCCAAATAGTAGGTGGTTTACATTACAGATGGGCGTTCCTAGAGGTGCATACTTCAAAAGATGTCACAGACGAACAGCAAGCGTACGCCGCAGGCTTTATTGAAGGCTACCTCACTAGAGACCTCATATGGATGCACTGGCAGAATATGCTTAAAGGGTCAGGTAGTTTTTGAGTTTTACTTAGCTAATAATCTTACTAAACTGGGTCCTTTTAAGAGTTATCCTAACATCAAGTAGTGTTAAAGCTTTTTATTTTATAAAAAAAAACAATTAACTTTTCAAGTCTATGCCAATGACTTGCAAAAAAGTTTGAATGCAATCATACAATAAATTTATAGTATTATAAACTTAATTCTTTAATGATCAATAGATAAATATTCTTTACATAATATAGATATTGCTACAATAAAACTGATTTGTGTGGACTCATAGAAGAATTTATTGAGAAAAATGAAAATTACATCGCCTCTATGGTTGATTTAAATGAGATAGATGCATACTGGTATCAAGTATGTATTCTTGATTACTTTATAAAATGTAATTAGCACTTTATGTAATTATAGATTTCACTAGCAATTTGATCCAGAATTAAAAAAGCCTAGTCTATAGCCAGTGTTCTTCCGGATCCTATGTTCTATATGTATAGCAAATTTGGTCTAAATCCATTTAGCCATTTAGACTGTAAACTCTATAAAACATTCATCCATCCATCTAGACTTTATTATTTAAAATAATAGTGAGAAGATAAAGTAGGTTTTCTTTTTTATAATTAATGTAAATAGCGAAATTAAAAAGGAATCAAATTGTATTTTATGTTTCAAATCATTCATATTAACCTAGTTCAGTGGTTCTCAAAGTGGTCAACGATGTGGGGGGTCCAACCAATATCTTGTGAGAGGTCCATGCGAATAAAAGTTGGGAACCTCTAATCTAGTGTGCATATCATTAAGTCAATAGCCAGTACTGTAAAATAAATTAGCAATGTATTAAAGTCAAATTTAAATATAGCATATTGCAGGTAAAATTATATTACATTCAACTGGAGGGATTAGCAGTTGGGTATAATCAAGCAACAATTGACCCCTATCAATGGCTAACAGCACGGGATATGGTGTTAGTACTAACTATTAGGCTTTACTTAAAAAAAGTATACCTTTTATATTATAGTGTAGTGTGTAAATGAGTAGAGAGGCACTTGAATTTTCTTAAAAGGGAACACTGTCCATAGACGTCTGCAATAGCAGATGTGTTGCCTACTCTTAATTGACTGACGAAGACATGAAAATAAAGAGGATGTTTCCCCTATGTATGAGTCTGAGGATGGCAAGGGAAAGAAAATAAAATTTTACTTCTACCTCTCATTAGACAATAGGAATTTATTCCCACTTCACACCTTTGAATGTACAAAGTAAATTCTATATAATTTTAGTTGGATCAACATGCTTGGTGATCTCGATGATCTGGCGTTCTCGCTCGCGTTACCAAAAGACCTTCCTGATGGATTGTTATTTGGTGACCACTGCACTGGACTGATAAAGCTTTTACCAGACTTCACGAATCTGTACACGGCACATACAACTTGGAACAGGTATTACTATGGGAACTAATTGTCAGTTTAAAAAGATTGTTGCCATCAGTTTTAGCCGGCTGAAAGTATATAGTTTTCTCTCTATATCTGAACAGATGCTAAAAGACTGTAAATCAGCGTACATTCCAGTTTTAAGCTTGGAAGTGTTAATCTAAAATTCTCATATTTGAGTCAGTAAATTATACTTCATACTAATATTATAAATGCGAAAGGTTAGATGGATGAATGGATGTATGTTAGAGTTTATAGCCTAAACAGCTGAACGAATTTCGATGAAATTTGGTATTATGTATAGGATAGTCTGGAAGAACACATAGGCTACTCATACTCACTTTGTGTTTTTAATTCTACGTAGATAGAGTCGCGGGCGAAAGCTAGTATTCTCTAAGTTTTAGAGACTATCATATATTCGAATGTCAGTCAATCAATTGTATTTTTTGACCGACTTCCCAAAAGAAGGAGGTACTCAATTCGTCTGTATGTTTTTTTTTTTTTTTTTTT